CTCACCAACTCTTCAAATATTCTTTATCCCTTTTGGTTTTTTTTCCCGGTATCAGGAACCGAACTCACGACCTTGAGCTTGCCAGGCAGGCGCTGTGCCACTGAGCTAAATCCCCAGCCCCCTCTTCAAATATTCTAAAAAACTCTCAATGATAAGCTTGAATGTTCGCTTACAACTAAAGATGAATGACACATAACCAACGTAAACGGGGGAGGGAGATGGTAGTGGCGACACCCCAGATTCCAAAGGTGAAGTGAGATGAGCCTGGGGAGGCGCACGTTAGGCAGTTACCATCTGGTATGAGTTCTAGCTAATATTTCCTAGACGCAGAGTTCAACTTCTAAAAAAGCAGTTTATTTCTTGGACAGAACAAATTCCAACTCAGTTGTTAAGTCTGAACCTTCAAACTCGGGAAGCTTTCCTCCAGGTCACCAGCAAAGGCCTTGTCCACTTCATGCAGGATTTTAATAAAGTCTTCCACCTTCGAGTCAAACAAAAGAATCAGATAAACAGAGTGAAGGAAAATGCGGTTTGAGATACTGACCGTTGACAATACAGATGCTCTGCCTGTGGTTTCTAAATAGTCCCGAGACAGCCAGACGGACAGACCCTGGGTAACAGCATGAGTACTTTCCATGCAGTCCCGCAGCATCGTGAAGGAAGTGACGACCCCTAACCATTTCGTCTCACTCTTGAGCTAGTGCTAATTCTCCCGATGCCTCCCTGCAGGGCTCACTACTGGAGTCTTGTCACCACCCTCCTTGCCAGCGCGGCCCCTCATGCCCTCATTTCGTAATGCCTTTCCCTGAAAAGCTACTATTTTGAAGTTGCCTGCAATACAGTAATGTGACGTCATGTGAAGAACCATAACCACCTATGTCTAATAATCTTACTTTTGTTTAATATATATGTTTTGTCTACTTCAAAAAGGGATACTTTAAATCCCATGTTGATTGCTTCCTCTGACAATTACTCTCAGGCCAGTATTATGAATTATGCAGCAGCCATCTTTCCAATCAAGCACTAAGTCCTGGGAAGTGCACTACCTTTCTTGACTACATCTTCAAAGGACTGGCGCTTACTTGAAAACATTTTACCGTGAAATGCAGCCCTCTATAAGGTCCCCAAACTCACCACAGGGTTATAGAAAGGAAGCAGGTTTTGAAATGCACAGGAACATTTCTGTTTGTTTAATTGGCCCTCCTTTAGTCCCTGAGCCACGGTCTCCTAAAACAAACCAAAAAAAAAGATCTAATGTCCAAAAAGGAAATTTTCTAAAGTTGTATCTGGTGAATTAATACAAATCAGTTTATACAATTACCGACCCAATAGGCACTTGAAATGTTCCAAACTCAACCCATCGTCATCAAGAGGCTTATGTGAATCAATAGCCTTTTCCGTGGCAGTCTTTACTTTAGGGGAGGGGACTCACTACCTTGGTTTCTACTGCACAAACCAAAAACCTGGGCACGGCCGAGACACCTCTCCTGCTGCTGACTCCTCCCTCCAAGTATTCAATTCTGCTCAGCTAAACCTCTCCCTTACCCCACCTCTCCTCTCTCCACACACATTTCGGCTGTCGCCATTTTTCGGATTATTCTTGAAGCTAACCAACCTTAAGAACCCACTGGTCGGTCCCCTGGCCTGCAGCTTCAACCCGCTCCAATACTCGCTACACTTTTAGAGCAACCTTTCTAAACTGATCACATCATCCAATGCTTTAAAAAGACTTTAGCAGTTCCTCAGTTTCCTCAAGATTAAACGCAAATTCCCTAAATATGACAAGCAAGAGTTACCATGATATATCCCTGGCTTATTCTCAGCCAACCCTCTGCTATACTTCTCAAAATGCAAATCAAAATAAGGCACAATTTATTACCTGTTGAAATTAACATAAAATAAGGGACAAGCACTTTTGGACGTCAATAGCATTTTGGTAGTATGCAGCCCTTATGCGTCATCTACAATGTCAAACCTAGTACTCTCACTTCTAAAACCCTGGCGAAAGCAATAACCCAAATCTGCAAAATACAGATATGGAAAACCAACAAAAAACTCAGTTCAGCAAAATAAAAACTTTTTAAAAGAAATATCCTTCGTGAAAATTCGTGAGTATGAATATATTCACCTGTTATATTCATAAATAGATTTTGTCTAAGTATCTGAATGGAAAGAGTACGTTCAAAGGAGGAATACACTAATAATCACTGAACATACTCAGGAAGAATTCTGAGCTCTAAAGAACTCTTTAGAAAAATTTTGTCACAAATTCCAAAAATTGATTATTTGGCTTTCAGTGAATTCATCTAGAGTAAAGTATTTATTCAGCATAACACACCTTGTAAGTTTTCAAAAACCATATACTGTACACTAGGTTACAAGTATATGAAAATGCATATATAAATATGCTAAAGTATATCAGTTGCCGTTTTAAGGTTATAAATTGATGATAAAACTTTTCTATTTTCTCAAAATAATATATTCAAAAACTAATAGCAGAGCTAGGGATATAGTTTGTGGTAGACCGCTTGCCTCGAACGCACAAGGCCCTGCACTACAAAATAAAAAAGGTAGCAATAATAAATTTTAGAGTATTAAGCAAACATGCTTTCTTCTGCTGAAGAAAGCACCAATACTTCTTTCCTACCTTTGTTAATGCCTGCAAAATATTAGAAAGAAATTCACACGAAATATCTTTTAAGATTTTCAAGTGGAAGTCATCTTGGGTTAAATCAGGCTTTTGAGTTCCTTCTGGGTTAGACTCTGTTGAGTTTTCTGATTTCTTCTGACAATGTTCCACATTTTCTAACACCCGAATTAGGCTGTCAATTAGAGGAAGATCAACTGTACAAAAATGAAGAGGCATGAAATCAGTGAAGTTTAGTTTTTCATTCATTCATCCATTCATAATGAACTCATACGATACACTATATTTTGGTACTACTGATAAAGTGCTAAGCAAGATCATTAAAGCATCACCCTTTAAGAGGCTTGTATTTCTACGTAATGCTTCCAAATAGTAAGTAGATTAAAGTAGACTATTTTGGATTTTGGTGAATTCTATAAAGGAAAATATCATCAAGCAGCTCAGCAGGGGAGGCTCTCTGAAGAGATAACACTGAACTGAGAACCAAAGGATAAGGAACATCAACAGTGCAAAAGGCCCAGGAAAACACACAGGCAAAGGAAACACTGGGAAGGTCTGAAGATCTAAATGTTAAAAACAGAAACCATCTGCTGGAAAACAGGTAAAACTCTTGAAGATATAAGCACAGACAAGGACTTTCTGAATAGAACTCCAACAGGATCATATAAAATTTAAAAAACATCCGCATAGTAAAGGAAACAACCAACAGAATAAAAAGACAACCTACAGAATGGGAAAAAACTGGCCAGGCGTGGTGGCACACGCCTGTAATCCCAGCACTCGGGAGGTTGAGGCAGGAGGATCCTTGCAAGTTCAAGACCAGCTTGGGCCACAAAGTGAGCTCAAGGCCAGCCTGAACTGCAGAGTGAGACCCTGTCTCAAAAAAAAAAAAAGACAAAAAAACAACAACAGCAGAATGGGAAAAAACTTTTATCAACTATTCCTCAGACAGAGGACTAACATCTATAATATATAAAGAATTCAAAATAATTAGACCCCCCAAAAAATAAAAGACCCAATCAAAAATGATCAAACAAAAATGAATAGACCCTTCTCAATAGAAGTACAAATGGCTAATAAGAATATGAAAAAATGTTCTACATAGCTGGCCATTAGAGAAATGAAAATTAAAACAATACTGAAATATCACCTTCCTCTAAAAAGAACAGCCATCATCAAGAAATCAAATAATAACAAATGCTGGTGAGGCTGTGGGGGTAAAGGAACCCTTTTATATTATTGGTGGGAGTGTAAACTAGGAGAACCACTATGGAAATCAGTATAAGAAGCCTCAATAACTAAAAATAGAAGCTCCATTTGATCCATATATTCACCTTCTAGGTGTTTTTCCAAAAGAGTCATCATATTATATGATATGTATGATACATGCATACCCATGACTATAGTGGCACAATTTATAACAGCTAAGTCTCAGAACTGGCCTGTATGCCCATCAACAGACGAATGGGGAAAGAAAAATGTGGTATTTATACACAATGGAGCACTACTCTGCCATAAAGAACAATAAACTGGAGGCATTCATAGGAAAATGGATGCACCCTGAGACCATAATATTAAGTGAAATAAATCAGACACATAAGCTCAAATACCATATGGTTTCCCTCACACGAGAAACCCAAAATACAAATGAAGAACAAAATCATGTACAGGTACAAATTCCCTATGAGGAATGTGACTGTTATGTACATCCAAAATGTACCAATAAAATCTAGTAAAAAAAATGCAGATTCTACAATGACTACCTTGGGGGGAAAAAGAGCAAAAGGAAAGCTAATAGGAAGTAGGGAGGTCTTTTTCAAGTGAAAAAAGGAATAAGAGATGGAGGATGAGAGGAGGGAAGGAAAGAAAAGGGGATGGGAAAAAATTGAAGGGGAGAAAAAAAAGCAGGAATGAGATTTGGAACGAGAAGGGGAGCAAGAGCTGGAAAGAGCAGGGAGGGACTGGCTGGGAGGGGGATGAAAAGAAAATTAAGACGTGTTATTTCCATGGGCCAGCTCCCCAGGGTAAAGGTCATCACCACATACTGCAGACATGTGGTTGAAAAGTGATATAAAGTAGATGGGAGACTATGATTAGACAAGGGGAAGGGAACAGAAGGTAGGAAGATAGAAGAGAGGGTAACAGGTGGGTGGATATGATCAAAATATGCTACATGCACATATGAAAATACATTAAAACCCAGTAGTGCACGCCTGTAATCCCAGCACTCAGGAGGCTGAGGCAGGAGGACTGTTGCAAGTTTGAGACCAGCCTGGGCTAAAAAGTGAGCTCAAGGCCAGCCTGAACTGCATAGCAAGACCCTGTCTCAAAAAGACAAAAAAATAAATAAATAAAACCCACTATTTTGCACAATTAATATGTACTCATAAGAATACATTAGAAAAAACTAAGTATCTAAAACACTATGATTATAATAAATAAATACAGCAGTGGAACTGTAGAGAATACATAGAAAATTTACAAAGTAGTAATGATAAGGTCGGGTTATTCATTAAATGATGCTGAGACCACTTAATCAGTCATTTTGAAAAGAGTTGAAATCTATCTCACACTTGACACCAGAATAAATTCTTGATGATCTCAGATTCAACTGTAATCACAGAAATGACTATGAAAGGCCATGTGTTTACAATGGAAAATATTCACTTTATAAGTAAAAAATGTTGGCTTAATAAGCAGTACCTAAAAATATAGATGCACATAAGTGCATGCTAACTATCTCTGGACGAGGGGATTACACACAGTATTTCCTTGATGCCCTCTTCTTTTCCTTCTCCTTCTTTGATATGACTGAATTCAGGGCCTTGCATATGCTCTATCCCTGAGCTATACTCCCAGCCTTTTATAAATTGATGCTTTAATACCTTTCATAAATTTTATAAATTTTTATATTGAGCATATAGTACTTTTATAATTAGAGGAATAAAAGAATTTTTTTAATTGGAAAAAATATGGGAGAAAGAAACCAAATGAAGAACACGCATAAGCTCTGACTTTAAATTTTGACAAGACCCAGCTGATTTTGGTGAGCAGCACGGACACCTGCCTTTTCCTGCCTTTAGGTATTCCTGTTCGGCCTGCGAAGCATAGATGGCCGACAACACGGAATAAACAGAGGCCAGCACCGTTTTCTGTTCTTGTAGGATGATGGGCGGGTCGTCCGACTGGCAGAATTCATGGCAGACCAGGTCAAAAAGTAAATTCCAAGTGTCTTTCCCAGTATCAGGACACTGTACTTAATAAAGATTATGAACAAAGAAGAAAGTTAGAAACAGCAAAACGAAATTTAAGAAATAGCCAATGATTAAATGAGTGACCAGACTGCACCCCAGTGAGCCATCTTACCGATTGCTTGAACTCCGTCATCCACTGTGGTCAGCAGCTGTAAGATATGCATGTAAACATCAAGCCCTTCTGGGTTTTCAGAACTAAACACAAAAAACAAAGGCACTGAATCAGTAACTTTACTGTCTAGGGAACTACAATTATTCACTCATTCAACAAATACTTATTACTGCGCTAGCCACCGCCATAGATGCTGAGGAGCAAAAGGGCAACAGAATAGCTGGGCATGGCTGGTACACATCTATAATCCCAGCACTCTGGGAGGCTGAGGCAGGAGGGCTAAAAGTTCAAGCCCAGCCTGGGCAATTAAGTGAGACCCGGTCTCAAATTGAAAAAATTACAATATAGAAAAGGCTAGGGATGTAGCTCAGTGCCAAGGTCCTGGGTTCAATCCCCAGTACCACATAAACACACACACACACACATACAAATGGTGGAAAACAAAACAAAATTACTTCTCACTAGAGCTTATAAAAATAAAAAACAACAACCTAGTACTATGTAATATAATCATACACAGGACAAGAAGCAAAAATTCTTTTTGGCTATGTCCCACAAAAGCAACAATCCACACACCTGCTAGGCAATACTTATCATTCTGGTTTACTTGAACAGTCAAAAAGTAACTCGAAACTTTTACAGTATGAAAAGCCCAGCTGCTGGGGATATAGCTCAGTGGCATAGGCACTTGCCTGGCAAGCCTGAGGTCATGAGTTCAATTCCTGGTTAAAAAAAAAAACAAAAAAAACACCACAAAAGGCCCAGCTGGGCATGCTGGCACATACCTGTACTCCCAGCACTCAGGAGGCTGAGGCAGGAGGATCGTTGTGAGTTCGAGACCAGCCTGGGCTACAAAGTGAGCTCAAGGCCAGCTTGAACTACATAGCAAGACCCTGTCTCAAAAAAAGAAAAAAAAAAAGAAAGAAAGGCCCAGTGCACCAAGCACCCACAGTACCATTCTTGAAACCTCACAAGGTTAACTTGGTTCCCTAGCTGAGAACACTACAACCATAAAAGTATAATTCTGATCAGTAACTGGTACACTCAGAAACTCAAAAGATTGGTTCTTCAAACAATTAAGTGAAAACACAGTAATGACTACAACAATGGTTTAACGGATGTTTATTTAAGTACCCACAATTAGCAGGCACTATGTTAGGGGCTGGGAAAATAGAGACGTGTGAAATGTTACCCCTTCCTTCGTGAAGCTTACAGTCTAAAAGGAAAGAAGAAAATTAAAGGTATAATTGTAATCAAGTGAAATGAAATTTCTTCCTTCTTTTTTTTTTTTTGGTACCAGGAATTGAACTCAAGACCTTGTGCTAGTCAGCCAGGCGCTTGTGCTGCTAAGCTATATCCCCGGCCCAAGTGAAATGAATTTAATGCTGGAGGAAGATGACAAAGCAGGTAGACTTAACCTAGTCTGAGCATCACGGGAGGTAATTTAAGAGAAATAGGGGCCGGGCATATAGCTCAGCAGCATAAGTGCCTGCCTCGCAAGTGCAAGGTCCTGAGTTTGATTTCCGGCACCAAAAAAAAAATTGAGAGTAAGAGAAAGAATATTTACATGGAAGCCTAAAGAAGCAAAGATGTGTTTGAAGTAAAGGACACATATTGTGCAAAGGCTTAGAAGCAAGAGAGCTCAGTTCAACTAAAAAAAGAACTTTACATGGCCAAAACAGAGTTTAAGAACCAAGGGTAGAAAGGCATCGTGCTGGGCTTTAAAGGTGTGTTTTAAAAAAATCTGAATCACCTCCTGAGGAAAGTGAATTGGAAAGTACAAGGCATGAAAGTGAGACGATGGGTGTGTGCTTTTCAAAGACAGCTCTACAGTCCAGGTAGTTCAGGTAAAGAATGTGCCAGCGGTCCAGGAGAAAGTTAGCAGGGCCTGGCTGCCCTGAGTGGGATCCCAGAAAACATCAGGGACAGGGCTTGAGGGCTGACTGGCCTCGGGAAGAGCTGGTAACAGCTTTTCCATCCCTTCCACGTGGTTGAAATGGGATAATAATTGCATCATTTATTGCTTAATACTACTAAAGAATTTTCCAGAAAAGATGAAAAGTTTCATCCTCACCTGATAAAAGACTAGATTAACTGCTTTTAATGTGGTGTATTAAGCACCAGGAATGCATTCTCAACCATTAGGCAGACTAATGTAAAGATTAATTTTCTCGTAATAAATTATTCCAATGAACTGTAAGAACTAGTAATCTCTCGGGCAAGACATCAAAACCCCGAACTAATCACCTGTCCAGATTGGCGTAGATAAAGTGTGATTGAAAAATCTGGTGAATATTTACATAGTTTTAAAAATTATTACAGTAAAAGACACACGGCTGTTAATCCCCCTCACAATACTCCTCCTCACTTCAAACACACTTTTCCATAGCTCTTGCCACTCCCTGACGCGGTTTTGGAAGTCCTCCTTTGTGTCTTTAGTTGCGCTGCCAAGGCCGCCCCAACGTTCTGACTTGATTCGAAATGTTCCCCTTGCATGCTCACTTTGACTTGGAGGAAGAGCCAGAAGTCATGGTGCCAGGTGCAGTGAATAACGTAGGGAAGGACGCGCTGCCGTGTTTTCACAAGCTGCAATTCTGTTATACGCCACTTGGCGCTGTTTGAGCATCTCACAAAGACAGTCAGGAAAGAGGACTTCCAGAACTGCTTCAGAAAATGGCAAGAGCAACGGGATACGTATGTTCAAAGTGAGCAAGAAAGCATTTGAAGGGGGATTAATGGCAATGTGTCTTTTCCTGTCATGTATTTTTGAAGTTTTAACATTAATTGTATATTACTATAAAACCTTGTACACAAGGAGCAAGACAACAAATGCTGCCCAATATTAATTGAAGTTGCTAAATGTTCAATGTAAAATAAAACAGAAGAAAATATTTTCTTGGGCTGGGTGTGGTGGTGCACATTTGTATCCCAGGAGGGATCTCAGAAGGCTGAGGCAGGAGGATCACCGCAAGTTTGAGGCCAGCCTGGGCTATACAGTGAGTTCAATGCCTGAACTACATAGGGAAATCCTGTCTCAAAAACCCAAAATTGAAAAAGAAAATATTTTCTCTTTAATTTAAATTACATACGTTCGCAACGGTTTTAAGACAATAACTACAATTAACACTGAACCATCACAGGTAACTAAAGCATATCAGAACAAGTACTCTGAATCTTTAACATTGCAGAGTAGATGTACTGTCACCACAAAGATTAGTAGTGAACCAAACCTAACCAATAAACCTGCCAAAAAGAAACTAGGACTTTCACAATTAAAGATATTTCTAGCAGTGGATTTTCCCAGAATCTCCCACACACGGAAGAGCTCACCTACCGTACTTGTTTGGCAGCTTCCAGGACACAGGGCACGATCTTAAACACCGGCTGCTCTTCAGAATCTTCCTGCGGTTGGTCCAGAGGCAGAGCAGCCCCATTTCTAATCCATTCCAACATTAGTTTCTCGTCCAAATCAAAGAGCTTATCCACAACCTCCCCCACCTTCACCAGCAAGTCAGCTGCAGAGAACACAGGTGCTGAGATGAGAAACAAAATCTTTAAAGCAATAAGGCTAAGCAAAATTCCTAAAGCTACAGCAAGAAAGCCAAATCTTGCCAAAGCAACACATATTCCAAAAGTGATTTCTTTATGCACTGTGCTTAAACTTTCTTATCTTTCTTCGTTTTTAGTGGGGGATTTATCAGTGTCCTGCAAATCTGAGAATAAATTTTATGGCTTGAATCAAACTACCTTCTCTTGCGTTAGCCTTTTAAGTGACTTCCAGAAACAGTTACATGGTTGACTAACAAATATAATCTAAAACATTTTTTAGGGCCAGGAATATAGCTCAGCAGCACAAGATCCTGCCTGGCAAGTGCAAGGTCCTGAGTTCAAGTTCCAGCACCAAAAAAAAAAAAAAAAAAATTTTAAATAATAAATAAATAAATAAAACACTGTGTAGACTACATGGCGACTTACCATTTGTTGAACTTGACATGATGAAACAAATGCTATCAAAAATAGCTGGATATTCCCGGATCCTTTCAACCCAGACACTGGCCACTTCTGTCTGGGAAAGGCAAGTAAGCAACAACCTACATGATAAATGTAAGCTTAATATCTAGCTTCTAAAAACAGCAAAGGGAGCTTAACTGGGGGAATGGGAGAAAAGTTATTAAGAGATCATGATGCTGACATGAACTCAGTGATGTGAAAAGGTGTACACGACACTCTGTTACGTGAAACAGCAAGTAACAAAATGGCACATATAGCACCGCCAATTTTTCACTTTCAAAACTATATTAATGTATAGAGATAATCTCTCTCTGGAAGTAAGACGCTGAGCACATTTTTCTTTTGAACTGAGTGTTTCTTTTTCTTACTTGTGCTGGTATAAAATGCCTCTAAGTGGAAGAAATCAGGAAATGTTTTAAGTATGTAAGGTCATGGGAGCTTGATTGTAATAATCATGTCACACAATATATATCCATCTCAAAACATGATGTACACTTTATATATGATTTTGTCAATCATACTCAACAAAATAATTTTTAAAAAACTGTAATGGAAATTCAAGAATTGATTTGCCTAGATTCTTTTTTGGGTGATGGTATGGAATCCACGGAAAAAGCACAGCATACCTGCTTGTCTCCAGCAGAGTAGGCGGGTCTGAATCATACAAACAGTGCAGTAACACCTGCCTGCGAAACAAAACACGGAACCCATGTGCTTCACTAAAACACTAGGGTTTTGACTGATTTTTAAAACATTTTTATTATCAGATAAAAATGCAGAGAACTTTATAATCAAATATCCATGTTTCTAAGAAATAGAACAGTGCTGCTTAGCCATAGCTCCTGGGTGTCCCATTCCAAATCACAATTTTTCCTATCTAGGAAAGGTCATCCTGACTTTTCTAGCAATCGTTTTCTCACTTTGCTTTCTAGTTTAGCTATTTTATGTACACTTTTGGCTTTGCTTTTGAACTTTATATGAAAGAAAAAATACTTTGTTATTTTCTTAAAACACCTTTCAGTTATCTATAAATCTTTTCTGTTTCAGAGTGACACATAGTAACTACACATATTCATAGGGTACAGTAGGATGGTTCAATACATGTATATACATTCTTGGGTCTTATTTTTGCTCAAAACCATGTATATACATGTACATGTTGTTCTTTGACTCATTGTTGCAGAACATTCCATTACAGTACAACTTACTTTTTCAGGCTACTGTTCACATTTAGGTTGACTATAATTTTGGGCTGTTTCAAGCAATACTCCTATAAAAATATTTGCATAAGGGATAATGAGGGTGTAGTTCAGTGGTAGAGCACTTGCCTAGCATGCACAAAGACCCTAGATTCAACTGTCAGCACCACAAAATAGTGATGATGATGATGAAGAATCAGTAGTAGTACAAGCAGTAGCAGTAGTATCTATGTATGACTACCCTGCAGTACACATACACAGCTTCTCTTATGGTACCTAAGAGTCACACTGCTGGGTGATTGCATGTGCACACATTCCAAGTCAGCTACATGATACCCAAAGGCCAGGTGTTCTAGTAAGTGAACACATTCACGTTCCATTACTGCTGCAAACTCCTAATGCACTCCAGATACCTGTCCCCATCTCCAAGTTTGCTTCCACATACTCTTCCCCATTCTGCATCCTGCTCACCACCTGCTGATGATGCAGGTCCCTTCACAACGCAGAAAATGGGGGTAAATCCTGAACCATGCTCACGCACAGTGTGGAAACCCCACGCCACCACCAACATAAAAGGAAGTTCCTGGAGAGTGCTTACTGAGATGAAGGAAACACTATATCTCATACTATTCCATCTCTCCAATTAATAGGATATTCTTAGGGGTATGAAATATGAACCTAATTTAAATATAAGTATTATGTAGCAAGACTTACCCAAGATTTTTATCACTGCTGATGGACACACATATCTCCTGGAAGCAGGCCATATTACCTAAAATTCCCACACAGATTTCCTGCCAAATCAAATTTCACAGGTCACAATGGTTGTAAAGTGAAAGAGCCAAAATTAATACATACAGTATATATATGTATTATTTGTATAGTGCAGTAACTCATATAGTATAATAATTCATACAGGTTCACACTGTGCACGTCTTAAGCAACAGACTAAGTTTAAAATGGTTTATAACAAACAGAGAATTTAGTGAGCAAAGAAGAAAAATAAACTGAGAAGTACGATGTTAAAGGACTATTCCCTGCTTTATCACACAGGAGCAACACAATATAGTTATGACTATCTGGTTTCCACAGCTGCTAAATCGAAGTATGGATCTTCCTGATCAAGTTCTTATAACCCAAGCAGTGCCATTACCTAGTAGTGCTCAATAAACATCTTCTGACTAACTTACTGATTGATAGCCAATAAGAAAAGCTCCAAGAGAAAAATGAAATGTACATACTTACTCTTAATCGAGGACACTTGGACTTGGCCAGTACTCCCATAAATATGTCAGGAGCATTAAATTCTTGCAGAAATAAGGCCACATCCTATAAACAAAAATGGTATTTACCTAATTTATTTTTCTACACAGCAAGAATTCTCCATAACTTATTCAAATACATTTGCTGATTACTAGATCTTAAGCCAGAAGCTGGGGGTAAGAGGGGCAAGGATGAAACTCATAATTCCTATCCTTCAAGAACTTAAAACATGATAAAGGAAACAGCTAAGAATCATTGCTGGTTCCCATTCAAAAATCAGAACTTGTGGTTTCAAGATCCTCAACAGAAAACAATTTCTGATCACAATGTAACTCCAACAGCCTCAAGTCTTCCCAGAGTCTACTCACTCTAGGGCACCATCTACAGGCACACCACAGAGGTGAGTGAACATGGAGTGGACACATAATGCAAATTGGGCCAAATCTGCTCCAGGAATGTGGGACACAAAGATTATATCAGTTAGCTGGGGGAATGGCGCTGTGCACTGTCGAACAGTCATAGGCCACATAATGAAGCTTTGAGCAGTGACAGCACATACGACAGTGGGCCCATACAATTACATTGCCTAGTAACGTCATGCTGGCTCAGTATGAGTGAGCACACTCCATGACATTCATAGGACAAAAATGCAGATACCTTCAGAGACAAAGTCTTAGCGTGTACTAAACTGTACCATGTCCCAGTACTTCACTCCCTGGACCATATACTAGAGTTACAGACGCTAACTAAAGTCTTGCCTCAAGAGTCAAACATCGAACCTTTAAGAAAAAAAAAACTCTACTCACTACTTTTCTACACAAGAGTTTTTTCACAATTGCATTTCCAGCCTCATACCTCATCCATTGACATATCCCATACTTTGCAAATTTCATTCTCCATTTCTTCATCAAGCTCCATCTGCTGCTCCTCACCATCTGGGTTGGAGTTGGTGTTTTCAGGTGTAACAACCTTGAGAAGCGGGAATAAAAGACATGAATAAAACCCACCCACAGTAATTTCCCAAGTATTACCCTATAACCATTTAGAAGTCACCAAGAGACTATCTTCAAAGTATGTTTCCTTGCAAAAAAATTATTTTCAAAAATCAGGGCCTTGCTGGGGATATAGCTCAGGGACAAAGCACCTGACTGGCAAGCGCAAAGTGCTGAGTTTGCCTCCTGGTATAAAATAAATAAATAAATAAATCAGCACCTTGGGTAGATCTGTTCATTCATCATCCATGGAGTAAGTACCATTACTATGTACTGAAGTAGAAATTCAGGATGAATGAACTATAACCCCTTCCTTTCAAGCAGTTTATAATTAGTGGGGAAGGATATGTGAACCAGTAGACACAACAGAAAATGCTAAGTGGCTCAATTGAATCGTGAACAAAAAGTTGTAGCAAAAATGATGGACGGATCACTTATTCCTGGAAGAAGTTGGGAGAGGGGTCACTTTTCTTAGCAGGTGGTTATTTTACAGCTAAATCTTGGAAAGAGAATAGAAGCTTGTCATGTGAAAAGGAGAACAGCATTCAGAAGTAAGCACAAGAGTTCAGGGTAGAACTGCCTATGGACAGTTTTTTGGTGCTGGAACACACTATCACAAGCAGATGAGGCTGCAAAGATTGCTAAGAGTCCTACACATCAAGCTAAGAAAAATACCTCTCCTCCAGGCCAGAGGAAGGAACAGAAGTATCCACAGCTTTTAAAAATGTTATTCTGCCAGCCGTGTAGATAATGGACAGGACAAGCCCGGCGTGGCGGCACACGCCTGTAATCCCAGAACTCGGCAGGCACAGGCAGGAGGATCCCGTGAGTACGAGGTCAGCCTGGGCTACATGCTGCGTTCAAGGCCAGCCCGCACGGCCTAGTGAGACCCTATCTCAAATAAACAAAGAAGAAAAAGAAAGAAAGAAATGGACAGGACAGAAACTGGAAGCAAGGAAAACAGTGAAGGCAGTGTGGAGAGGAAAACAAAATTACCGAGAGCCTCCAATAAACAAACACCATGAGAAGCACTCCAGGATCATTATCACCTCATTTAACCTGCGCAAAAGCCACATGTGGGATATTATCGTATTATCATCCTGTTCTATAGAAATTGAGAGAAACGGAGGCCATGCGTGTTACCGATGTGACCGAAGTCACGCACAAAGCAGGTGATGCTCCGAGTCTTTCCTACCAGAGCTGCGTGATTCCAAACTCAGCATTCACTTCACTGCAACAAAAGTCTGTGACGCACATAAACTAGGCCTGGCACACACATTTCAGAAATAGCAGTGGGACTGAGCAGCAAAACTCAATGCATTTCCAGGGCAGAGTTCTGGGAGAACTGCAAAAGTGGGATGGGACAACCGCGCGCGGTGCAGCATCCCCGCCGCTCAACGTCGCTTTGTGGGAGGCTCCACCGAGCGGCGCCAGCTCGCACACCTGGATGAGCCCGGAGAGGACACCGAAGAGCCAGTGCTTGCTGTAGACGGTGCTCCCGATGCAGTCTACCCCGGCCACCTCGGCATCCTCATCTTCCCGATTCGGGGGTGGCGGCGACGGGTTACGGTCCATAACACCGCGCGCTCCTACTGCCCCAACGCTGCACCGGAAGCCGCGGAGGAAGCGAGCATCCTCCTCGCGCTAGAGGGCCCGGCGCGCTCGGCGCTGCTACCGCCACAGCGCCCCCTGCTGCCCGGAGTCCCGACGACCTGGGGGTCTGGCTAAGGGCCATTTCTCCCATCCCTACTATAATCTACCCTGCCCTACCCTACCCTTCACTACCCTACCTCCGGGCCTGGGCATGATTAGATTCATAACTGTTATTTGTCACCTTCCCTGGATCAGAAATTTGATTTCTTTAAAAACCCTTACCCTGGGGCTGGGGATTTAGCTCAGCGGCACAGCACCTGCCTGGCAAGCACAAGGTCATGAGTTTGATTCCCTGTGCTGGAAAAAAAATAAATAAATAAAAATAAAAATAAAAACCCTTACCCAGATATAAGAAGGCCTAGAACAGCCCAGTGTCTCTAGTACAGAAGTGAATCTCGAAACCATGGTATCTATTGCATTTGCTTTCCAACCCCTAGACTCTTCAAAAGTCTTCAACATGTTCTACCTGTGGCCCCTCCTCCTCCCCTCTGAGACTGGGTATCACTAAATTACCAAAGCTGGCCTCGAACTTGTTATCCTAATGCCTCAGTCTCCCAGCTAGCTTGGACTATCGGTGTGTCCCACCATGCACAGCTTTTGCCACTCTTCCAGATATCTGTAGGTTCTGACTTCTCGCAGGTGTGACTAGAATCCTAAGAAAAATAGAAGTCACACCTGGGAGAAGATCATATGTGCAAAGTGCTACTACTAATTTTTGAGGAAATAAATTGCCTTTTGTCATAAATGGAGCATTCTGTCTCTAATTTTATCTTTCCTCAAATGATCATTTCACATGAAGACTAAAGTGGATGAACTGTTTGCTCCTCTGATGGCTACAGCCAATTTAGCCATCTAAGCTCTGCTCCTCAAAGGAACTGGGTGCGAAATGGCTGCAAAAAGCAGCCTCCCCTGCAGTGCACAGTTCCTGTTGCTTATTTGGGCTGCTCTGAGAAGCCTTAGAGACAGCCATTTCTAGAGGATGCCCATGTCTCTCACATTGTGCTATTCCCAATCTGCGCTCCAGACAGGTATGCAGTATACTTTCGAGAAGCTCCAGCGAGCAGTAGCTACTATTCACATTGGCCTAGTCATCATGGCCATTTGCAGTGGGCTGCAAAACTAGGAGGATGTAATTGAGGTCCTAAACAGGGCAAGCTCAAGTTTCCTGACCACCAGAAGATCAATCACATTGCAAAGAATGGGGGCTTTTCCAAAGTAATGCAGATGAACTTGAAGACAAAGTGGCTGAGAAACAGGTCATCCAGGATAGCTGTAGGGTCAAATACATCCTCAGTAGCTGTTCCCTGGACAAGTGGCAGGCCCTGCTCTCCTGAGGGCTTCCACTACGGTGCACCTCCTTAATTACACCCACCAATGAACCCTAATTTCTGACTCAAAAAACACCCCACAAACAAAAAGTTACCTCCGATTGCAATAAAATCAATGGCATTGGGATGACAGCCTTGGCAGCATCTTCAAAACACAGATTAGAAATTGCCACCAACCTCTGTAAATAATCATCACACAGAAGGTGTCAGTAGTTGACCATACAGAGCTCTTCCCAGTCCTTGTCAAAGTCCAGGAAGTTTAAATTTGTAATCCTATGGAAAAGTTACTGGAATCTGAGCAAGTTATTCCAATCTACCACTCCCAATGCGGTGCATGGTGAGGATAAGTAGCTGTGGGGAGCCAACGGGTCCTAAGTCCAGCTCTGATGAGGGCTGAGTGAAACAAAGGCCTCAAGCCAGGGCCTAACCCAGGTTTCATTAACTTGTGAAGCAGGGAGTGGCTGGAGGTTAAGTGACTGTGAGAATGGCAAGAAGTATGTGAGTGCTGTGAGCTGGGCTAGGTACAAGGTCTGAAACCACTTCTACAATATGCAGAGAGAAGAATAGGATACGAAGAAAGACTAATCTGCATAACACAATTCAGGACAGTGTCTAATGTTTTGGGGTTGATGCTTCAGCTCTGATGTGTAGTCTTTTATGCCCTACAAAGTCATAGCCTCTTCTCAGCATGCTTGATCCTAGCAGACAGCTCCACACTTGGAGCGAGGCTCTCCCTCCCACCCACCTCACGTGGTTTTTGGGAGCTACAGGCCAGAGAAACACTGACATGTGCTCTTGCTTCAAAGACTACACATCAGCTCGTCTGCTGGACTGATTTGCATTGCTTAAAGCCAACTGAAGGGATAAGGAAGAGTGCTAGCCAGCTCTGTATATATCAATACATGCAAATAGGGCCAGGATTAGCCAAGATGGAGATAATTGCTCTTCTTTCAAGGAGAGTCCTCCAGGTGGTTCTGCACGGGTGATGACACAGGAGAATATGAGGAATTCAGAACATTTTGAAGGAAATATGGAACTGATGCCCAGATCCCTGCAAAGAAAGACTTGCTGCCCGGCTACAGGGAATATGTCAACAGACTGTGCCCAGCTATCAGCTCCTTTAGGGCCGGCCAAACTGCAGAGCAGCTCCTTTCTTCCAGGGACAGCCCTCACCTGGTGACTGAGCAGTGGGTTAGGGATTCCGCGGTGTGGTACAAAGGCCTAGTAGGTTCAGCCTAATTTGGGACACTCCCACCAAGGCTTCCTGCCAGGTTGCCACGGCCTTGTGAAGCCTGCACAGTGCTTCTACTTCTCTTTCCACTCCTCTTTCTGTGCTTTTCTGCACAAGTGGTTTATTGATCCTTGAATATCTTGAATCCCAAACCCTACGAAGCATCTACATCCAGAGAACACAACTAGGACAGTTGGTACATCTCCTTCCCACTTCAAGGGTTACCACTGATGTACTTAAATCATGCAGGTGGCTGTGGTTCTTTTTTTTTTCTCTTTTTTGAGACAGGTCTCGCTATGCAGTTCAGGCTGGACTTGAGGTCACTTTGTAGCCCAGGCTGTTCTCAAACTCGCAGCAATCCTCCTGCCTCAGCCTCCCGAGTACTGGGATTACAGGTGTGTGCCACCAAACACTGCATGGTTCACTTTTGAGAGTATGTAAGTGAGCTCAGATTTATAAATAGGACACCCACAAAGCACTTAATCCATGGACATGGATTCATAGTCCAGAATTATCCTGAAAGTTTTAGCTGTGTAGTCAGTGGCTGAACAATGTTTGCTTGGGTCCACCTGGCTCTGTGAAAATGCAGTCATTCCCTTAAAACTCTGGAGATCAGAGCTAATCATGCTCCTCGGTGGTAAGCATGGCAGTAAGACTGACATGTGTCCTGACTGAAATGCCTCATGTGTAGAAGATCAACACACCAAGAAAAGTTATATAATTCAGGAAATAATGAATGCTGAGTATCTATTACATGCTGAGAACTATTCTAGGTACTAAGGTTGTGGCAGTGAAGAAAAGAGAAAAATTCCAGCCTTTGATAGACTTGTATTCTGATAGGAGACGGCAACCAAGCAAATAAGTAAAATAGATAATGCGGATGGTAGATTAGTAACTGACAGCCCCTAGTGGATTTTGTCTCCTGAGCCCCATATGCTTGGGTGGGTTCCTCCCTTCTCCCTCACACTATCGTGGCCACGTGACTCTATTGGCGAGTGGGACATTGGCAAATGTGATACGAGCAGATGCCTGGTGAATGCTTGTTTATCCTGGGACCCACCCTCTGGAGGCTTCACCATGTGAGTGCCCAGTCCTGTCTCTTTAATAATGAAAAACCGCATGGAGATAGAGATCCAGCAATCTCAGCTGCCGTGATCGGCACCTACCTACCTTCCAGCAGAAAACACCTGCATAAGTGAGCTGGTAACACCAGCAAAAAACTCCCACCGGCCCACAGAATCATGAAGAGTGGCACCTCTTTTTTTTTTTGGCGCTAAGTTTTGTAATATCTTGTTACTCTAGTAATAGGTAATTAACACAATTTGTAAGGAGGCAATAACTTCTGAGAAGAAAAATAAAACAAGGAAAGAGGGAGCACTGTCATCTATCAATACTCCTAATGCAGTGTGGTCCTGGTACAAGGACAGGCATGTGGATGAATGGAATAGATCCCTACACCCATGCTCCTTTGCCTATGGGGACACTTGATATATGATGGAAGTGGAAATGCAAAACAAGAAAAAATACCCACAGGGTGAAATATTTAATGATTACTACTTCAAAATAATATGTAGAAAAGATTAAAACTAAGTCTTTAACAAAAGTCTGTTTGCATGGCTTGAAGAATTAAAGGAAACTAAACTAAAACTAAAAACTGAAATGTAAAGCTTCTAGAAGAAACTGCTGTACAGTGGACTCTTTTTATAAAATCATAAATAGAAAAGGTTTGCTTAAAACAGTCAAAGCCAATCTTTCATGGAAATGATTGCTACATTTTGCACTCTAGTTTAACATACATCAAGATAGTTTTTCTTAAAGCTTCAGGTTAGAAGGAAATTTCTGTAATGTATGATTGACATGAGTACAGTATATCAAATAATTTTTTAAAAGTTCCATTAATCACTAAGAAAGAGACAACCCATTAGGAAAAAATGGACAAAATATAGAAACAGGAAATCCGCAAAGCAGGAGCTAAAATTGAAGGAAATATATAGAGAGATACTCAATTATGATTTATTTGAAAATCACAGAAGTATAATTTAAAATCATTATGAATTATTATTTTACATCTACAAAGCTGGAAAAATCTTTAAATCTGACAGTGGCAAGTACAAGTGCGATTGTAGAGAAGCAGGAACTGTCGTACACTGAAGAAGACTCACATTTAGCAAAATTACTTCACAAAAAAGTAATTTTCAAGAGTGGAAACCCATTTCTTTGAGATGTGAAGTCAGTTTAGTGGATCATTGCTAGCATTTTTTAAAGACACAAACTAGACTACGCCAGAAGAAAAAACGTCAGGGGCCACCATGTGTACCAAATATTAGCGCTGTTTAACAAAACCTCTATTTTAGTTACACACACACACAAAGTGAATTGTCTCATAAAACTATTGTTGGGATATATACATTCACACTAAAGCAGAAAAGCTCCTTTTATTCTGTTTTGATTTTTCCAACCTGCCCCATATAACATGGCCTCCTCCCTTGTTCCCAGATGCCGGCAGTTCACTTCCTGGTTCTTCATCCACCCAGACATCTTGTACACTAGGTTTCCATTTCCCATTGGACCAACCATGCCCCAAAGGCATGGGACCTGCCCTGCCCTATCAAAAACCTGCAGTGCTGAATCTGTACCTCCTGCCTGTAAAAGCCTGTGAAAAGCCCAGACCAACAGAGACAAGCCTGGCTTTCCTTGTTGTTAACAGGGAGACCATCCAGGGCCACTGGTATAAAATAAAGCTGCTCACTGCCTCCAAATGCTGGGGGTCCTTGCCATAGCAACACAGGTCCTGTTTACAGACAATCATATTGACATCTTTAAGCAAGTCAGTTGTTGCTGGTTTATGCTATACAGCTCATCTTAAATTTAAACATCTACTCATATATTTTTATTAAAATAATTTAAAAAGAAGAGATTAGTCTAAAATTCATTTGTAAGTTTCCAACTTTTATTTAGTCAGATACCCACATATGTACCTTGAGTATCTTTTTTTTTCCCCTTTGGATCTCATGTGCACAGCATTGGATCAATCACTTGCTTGGTATTTTCATAAGATGGTTTCATGTTCTCTGGAGACAGCAGGCATTTAAAGCTGATCTGTATGTCTATTTTGGATGCTTCATAAGCACCCTGCTTCAGGGCTGGAGACAACTCCCTACCGTTCCCTTGACACATGATGTGGTCTCCTCAACTATATGCCTGCTTCTTCCTCAGCCCCTTACCACTCTCCATCCCCCCATATAGACTTCAAATGGGATCCATACATTCATTGTGAGGATGCATGGGGTGGTACTGGAAATAAATTCCTTGAAGGAATGATTATGTGAACTCATATATACAAAAGTGGGATTTTTGTTGTTGTTGTTGCTTTTGTTTTGTTGTGTTATGTTTTGCTGCACTAGGGATGGAACCCAGGGCCTTGAAAGTACTCTAACAATGAGCTACACCTCCAGCCTGTGAAAGTGTTATGGCTCAGATCTCAACTGCCCCCCATGGCCCATGTGCGTGGAAGGTGATTGGATTATGGGAGTTGAGAGCTGACTGCTGCTGGGAGGTCCTGTGGGGAGGGTGCCTGAGAGGGGATGTCTCCCTTCCTGCATCCTCCCTTCACTTTCTGCTCCCTGGCTGCCACAAAGTGAGCAGCTTTCCTCTGCACACCCTTCCCCATGCCCTTTCTCTGCAGACATTTCCCCATGCCGTTTCTGGCTTGGAGCCGGCTGACCACAGATGGAAACCTCTACACACTGTGAGCTTACACAAACCTCTCCTCCATTAAGTTGCAGTGTTGGGTGATGGGTCTCACTTATGTGAAAGCAGGTAGGACAAAAAGTGGTTCATCAACTGTCACTTTCAATACAATTGCTATTTATAGCAACTGCTTAAGATTGTTGGCACTAGCATCAAACTAGCAACATGACTGGGAGATCTTGTTTAAACTCTGCCGTTAGTGTCCTCAACTCAAAAATAAGGAAATGAAAGTGTGAGGATCTGATGGGATAAGACAAGAAATTGCTTAGAGCAGAAACTGGGCTGTAGTCACCTCACCATGACTGGAAACTGACATTTTTGTTACTGTCATCACTAACCAGTGTTAGAGGAGCTTAACGCCAACCAGCAGGAGGACTGACATACTGGCCAACAACTCTCACAAGGATGGATAGGGGTTTCCAGGAGGCATGAACAGAATGTCACAGAGACAGTCACTGTTATGGATTTGGGCACTGAGAAGTGATGTTCTCTCTTGGTCTGAGTCAAGGAGTGGACAAGAGGACAGGGAAACGGCTTTGAGAGATATTTCTTAATACCATAAGCAGGGACTGATTAACACTATCTTCAGGAAGGAGAGGGTTGGAATGGGCATATACTCCTGGAACTAGACCTCCCGGGCAAGGAGAGAGACCAGTGAGGACTCCAGATTCTGCAGAAAAGCAGAGAAGACACAGCACACTGGATGGATCAGATGGCTGGAGACAGAACCTGCAAACACTTCATGTTAATGTGAGATCCCAGGGCCAGCAATACCAAGGGAAGAGAATCTAATTTGGAAAAGAAACTGTATGGGGTTTGTGAAAACACCCCTCTCTAAGATTCCAGGATCTTAAAGGATCAGGGAAAGGGCATAACCTTGGGTGTTGGGTTAATAACCCTTAGTAATTATGGGCTGATAAGGCCCATAATCTCCCAAAGGAGTGGATGGCGAAGGCTTAAATAAATGAGACAAAGAAAATGATTTTAGGCCTCCAGGAGAGTATTAACACTCCAACAGAATTTGACATTTTTTGAATTAAGGCAACTTTTTGGGGTAGCCCATATTCATTAAGTTTTCAAACAAAGAAAGCAAATACTGAGGAAAATGCAGGAATCTTGAGCAGGACCTTGGGAGAGTTTTCCCAACTAGTAAATTATGTCAATCAGGAGGACCACCTTATCTTTAGCTTGGCATTTATTGCAGGAATGTGGAGCCTGCAGCTGCAGTCTCCTTTTAGTAAACTGGGCTTGGAGCCAAATATCCTCAACTGTGGCCTTATCTTGTCCTTTGAGGAGTCACAGCTTCACAGGCCAATACAGGCCTCTGCAGGGACCAGTGTCTCATAGAGGTTCACTTACTCTCAGTCTGCTGTCCATCTCCAGAGAAGGCGCCTAGGTTTGGACAGCTCCCAAGTAAACATAAAAAGCCAGTTGGTTAATATTAAATCCTGCTCGGAGCCACTTTGTACTGGTCTCCATTGCTTGGGCTCTCCTCTGACTCTAGCGGTGGTCAGTGTTGAGGCCTGTGCCCAGCAAGCTGGAGCGCTTCTGCTTTTGGATGTTTTCTTTCAATTAGTTTAGTGTCAGTTGTTTTGTAGCCTAGTAGAAAAGGTTGGAAATTGTTTCTCCTGTACTTCCTGGAATTGTGGGTACAAAATCAGAGTTGTTTGCCTGTTAGAAGAGTTAAATGTCTCTGTCAAACCATCTACTTCTGCTATTTTCTTTGTGAGAAGAATAAAGTTTTTAAAATAATTATGAGATAATTCTTATTTTCATTCCTTTTTTCATATTTGTGAGTTGTTTTTTGTAAGATTTTTCAAATTTTTATTTAGTTTTAAACTTTAGGGGCTAGGGATTTAGCTCAGCGGCACAGAGCCTGCCTAGCAAGCGTGAGGCCGTGAGTTCAATTCCCGGTACCGGAAAAACAAAACAAAACAAAACAATAAACTTCAGTGTTTAAGTTGCTCACAAGATGCTCTTACCACCTCCATTTTATGGAATATATAATCTAGGCATGTAGGAGCTTGGGATTTAGTGCAGCGGCACAGTGCCTGCCTGGCAAGCGCGAGGTCATAAGTTCAATCCCTGGTACCAGAAAAAAAAACCAAACCAAACAAACAAACAAAAAAATAATCTAGGCATGTAGTGGTCCATGTTGTGCTATATGTACGGACAGGTAATTGTGTCTCTGATTTCTATTTTATGACTAGCATCTTATCTCATTTTGTAAAATGTAAAATAGAAACAATCATATTCTTTGATCATTCACAGGGCCCAAGCTTCCAATAAGAACATCACACGCTGTTCCTAGATCACAACAACAAATTGGATTTCACAAGCATTGGTTAAACATTTTAATGTGTTCTATGTTAACTAATGAGACATCAAATTATACAACTGGTTCAGCAAATGTCCCAGCCATCAGGGTTTCAGTGCTGTGTTTTCTTGAGAGCAGAGTGAGGAGGAAGCTCAGTACTTGCTAGGCAGACCTGCAGGTCGGAAGTGGTTGGGGTCTTTGCCACTCCGGCCCCATTCATTGGCAAACTGGTCAGCTCTTGTGTCCTCTGCTCCATGGCCCAAGAGACTCTGAATACCTTCCCTGGCATCGCTGCAATCAAAACAGGAAGAGTGGAGCTTAGTCACTAGGCTGATAAGCAACAGCCCCTCCTTCATGTCTCCCCTCTTCCCAGAATGGTCCTGAAAGGAGGCCAGGAAGGCCAAGGCAGGGAAGGCCAAAGTACTGAGGATCCCTGTCACGCACTCATGCCCAGCCCATCCTTACATTGGATAAAGAGCAGAAGAGAGGAGATTTGAGAATCATCAATTCCCAGTGATCAATCAGACCCAGAACTAAGCACAGAGAAGAAGCTGGGGCAACAGGAGGAAGGGGCACAGTGTCCACAGGCAATGGCTCTGCCTGCAAGAGGAGCCCCCTGCTGGCTGGCTAAGGCAGTCACCCTCTGCTCACCCAGGCCCGGCACCCCAGGAAGCTGCATACCTGATCACTCTAGCAGCCCAGACACCTCCAGGTCCCCTTTGGGCAGCATCATAGTTCCCCCGCGCATGGAAGTATTTGTCCGAATTTTTGTAATTGGCTTCTCTCATGTCAGAGTAAGCTCGCCACATGTCTCTAGTCCCTGCGGGGTGGGGAGAGAATGATGAAGATATTCATGTTCTGGCATGGAGAGGAATGAAAATTTTTCCTCTAACTGAGTCCAAGACTTCAGCTTTTGACAGAGTCCACAGAAATACATGAATATTCCTTTACTTTTCATCTCCCTGGGTTCATGCTGAGGGAGTCACACTGAGTACAAGTTTTATTCCACTTGATTCCATCCTACTTTTGTTGCTGCTTTGTTTTTGACTATGTGAGAGGCACATAAAGAACAGGTACGTTGGCCTTTAAGGGATGTTTCAATCTACAAGGGTCCTCTGCTTCAGTTCATCATAATTGTCAACTTGTCTGGATTCAGAGACCCCTGGAGAGGACTTGGATCATGGGGGCACTATGCTCATCAATGGATTGATCCATGGATGTTCATAATCACATATGCTGTTAGAAGCGGGGCCTAGGATGAGGAGATGGGGTCACTGGGGGTCCTGGCATTTGGAGGGTACTTGTCTCACTCATCCTCTCCCCCTGTGCTCTATTTCCTCCACCATGAGGTGAGCCATTTTGCTCCTCCATGCCATCCAACCAAGATGTTCTTGCCTTGGAGCCAGCCAACCATGGGCAGCAACTGTGAGCCAAAATAAACCTCTCCTTCTTTAAGTTGGGACTGTCAGGGACTTTTGTCTCAATAACTGGAAAGCTGACTAATACATCGCCTGTCTAGAAAGATCCAGGGAACCTTCTGACCAAGGTAGAGCATACCACTATTTGAAGAAGGCACCAGACCCAATCCAGTAAATGGGAAAAATCCATCCTCATGGGTAGGATAAGAACAACCCTGTTCTGAGCACATGTAAGTGTTGGGTATATTTTTCAGCCTGGACAATGTCAAAATTTAATTAGCAGCGCCGACCAGACACAGAAAAGACAAGTATCACATGTTTTCTCTCATATGGGGAAACAAACAAACAAAAGGCCTTAAAGTAGAAGAGAGAATGTCAGGAAAGCAGTAGGGGACCAGGGAGAGGACAAAGGGGGAAAGAGAGGAGAAGCGTAGGTAGATATGATGAAAACACCGTATGTACATTTATGAAAACCTTACAGTGGAACCCTTTACTGTGGATAGTACTATGCATTAGTAATTTTAATCTTAAAAAGAACCCAATGAGTAGGTGATAAAGGTCAGTTCTCCGAAAGAGAGATTTAAATGAACCTGATAATCAGAAGCAGAAAAAGGGCAACTGACTCCCTAGGTCCAAAACGTCAATGCCCTCCTAGGTAAAATAGGGGGGCAGAAAGCCTCCATGGTGGCGCCCAGGCAGCCAGTTCTCCGGGAGCTGCAGCGCTCCTGGGTCCGAGTGTGGGCCGGACTCATACCACCGCGATTCCCAGCCGAAAAGCGCGCAAAGAGCCAGGTAG